TTTCTTCAGTTTAGACATCTGGGGCCATCTGTAGAAATCCTTACTTCGGACATCTCTGGTGTTGAGCCAGTCAAATTCTTGATCCTCACGCCACAAATTAGCAGTTTGCCTGATTAGGTTTTATGTGACTGCAGCTAGAGTAACCTAGCTTTTCTCAGACATTCAAGATTTTTTTTTCCTAAAATTGAGTAATCTTTTTTATTCATGACAAACAATGGAGCAATGATCGACGACATAAAAGACGGATCTTTCTGAGTTGAACTGATTGATCAACCATGGAGTAGTGAAACTTGTTAAGACGAGAACGCCATCAGAGCTATAATTAACATTTGGAGTTTGTCATCAGCAAAAGTTAACGCAAACAAGGATCGACGAGACCGAAGATTTAGGTTCGTAATGATTTAGGATTCTTTCAGCTCATTCTCTTTAATTTAAGGTCCTATCTTAAATGTCTTCTTACTTTTCGATTTTAGCTTGTTGCTTGTCTCCTGCCAACACACAGTGCCTGTGCTGGGTAAAATACTTAAAAGGTGAATAGCTCATTGAAGTTTTTTTTGAAAATCTTAATCACTTATCCAAAATATTACAACTTGAAACGAATTTTGCTACAAGACCAAAAAAGCCATTTTTGCTATGGAACGTTTCTGTGGGCGAATTGTAGCAAAACGTGCCGTTTTTTTTTTTTTTTTTTTCAGTAAACCGGCTTTCGACGTCATCAAATCATAAACGCCTTTTGCGATGGTTTAGAGCGAAATGAAGAGCTTATGTGTCAGGAATTTTTTCAGTTATAATTATGGACTTTTAAGATCCAACGACGCGACGGCCACGAGACACTGAGTCCTTGCTCATCAAAAGTTGCGGAAGCGGTGGGTGGAACTTGATTTGTACGTGGGACAATTTTTGCTGTCGTTGTTACATCACATCCTAACATCGTTCAGTTAAGGTTTCCTATAATTTTGCCTGCGACTAATTACGCCTCACTCAACTGGGCTTGTACAGTCATTATTGAGACAGGGCAAAGCGTAGCAGGCGCGGATCTAGGATAAATACTGGCCATGCTTAAAACTTATTAGATTTTAACTGCCTAAAGTCCTTTTTCCTGAGTTCCCGAGTTATTAGGAAGGATATTGACCAGTTAAGCCTAGCAAATCAGCAGATTATTTAATCTCTAGATTTCAACTTGGAAATTTTTTTTATTATTATTAAAAATATATTTATCAGTATAAAAACAATTGATCGAAACCGGAGTGGATCCGCGCCTGCGTAGTTTGTGAGTGTTAATGACGATTTACAAACGTGTTCTCTCGAAAACTTTATTATGCAAAAAAAGAAAATGTAATGGTGGTTATAACACTTCAACGACGAGAGAAGGATTACAGAAAAAGGTAAAAGCGCGCAGTTTTGTTTTTGATATATATCGTTACAATTTTCAAGCCTCTTCTCAATGGAGTTTTTTCCATTCCTTTAGCACTAACGGAAGCATTGAGTAAATATTTTTTTTGATAATGCATACCGTGTGACACGAAATTTTTGCGGAAGTTTAGTTTTGCTGATTGGAGATTTTTTTGTATTTGGCGGGAACTACTATTTGCGATTAGGACAGATTGGGTTTTTTTGCCGCTGGAAATTAATTTTTGCGATTTTCAGAAAGTCCAGTACAAATCATTGATAATATCTGATTTTTGTTTTTATTGGGAACGTGCAACAAAAATGCATATTTTTTAAAGAATACTGCGGTGTTCGTACCATACCCTGTAAAACCAGCGACAGTTTTGCTCGTCTTTTTAATCGTTTTGTTTCTGAACGAAAGAGGCAAGTTGTAATTGAAAAGTTACAATTTCTTAGCATTTTTGTGTGTAGCGAGTCTAAGTTTGAAAATATTTACACTCTGGAGTAAAAAGAAAACGCTCAGAAGGAAGAGGGTAATATGCTACTCATACAACAATGAATGAAAGGGTTATTATGGCCTCTTCTTAGCATCGTATTTTGGACGTTTCCGTCCGTCACCGTTGTTGTTTCGTAATGTAATAAGGCGGTGGGGCTTGTTATATCCGAACAGCGTTGATGAAGTCAATAAGGTGGAAATTGACCGCCTCTTAAACTAGTTCAAGGAGAAATGAACGCGGGAATTCGAAATCACAGAAATAATTTTATATCAAACAAGCCGCTTTCTCAGGTAAGTAAAGTTGAGTCAATGTGTTTAAAGTGAAGAAATGAGTAAGTGGTAAGACTATGAGCCCGTCACTGGTTAAGTCTCGTTGTTAAATGTTGCTTACATGTCTCGGAATCTTTACTCTGGCTCAAGAGGTCCGTTCTCCAAAACCCTCAGAAATTCAGAAGTTTTTAAGCTTTTCAGTTGGAAGCTTAAAACATTGCCCTTTTTCGGGTCGAAAACTGCATGGTTAGCTACACCCATTCAAAATTTTAGTTTTAGGATTACTTTATATCTCTTAGATATCATGCCTCGAAATACCAAGAAAAATTGGAGAGAAAATAACCAGTCCTTTAGAATGGTATTAAGAGTCTCCTTTTCCCGCCTAAAATTTCAGAGTCAATTTTGGGAACATGAAGAAATTTTAGTTATCACTTGTAAATTGCGTCTGTATACTGAGTGGACCTGCTATGGTGTGACCTCTTTGATATGGGGCTATTGTAATTTTCAGTGTAAAAAGCAGCCTACAGAAAAGCAAAGCAAAGATATGAATTAATAAGAGCCACCACTAAAATGGCATGGAAACTCTTCCAAATGCCATACATACGAGGGTTCCCTCTGTGAACATTTCTCTCCTTCTATCTTTGAACAAATGCATTGAATACAACAAAGGGAACAGCTGACAGTTCATTGGTCAACTGAGACACGTTCTAACAAATCATCAGAAAGTTCAACTTGTTATTGCATCGTGTCATTTATTAGCGTCGAACAAGCCATTTCTTGATACTGTGCAAAAACAAATGTCTTTTGTAAGCAACCATGTTATTGGTCGATGTAAAAAATCCTGACATTGCTATTTACTGCACACGTAACATCTTTTCAAACGTGTTTGTAACATGAAAATGTAATGTTGATTCAGTACGGATAAATAGCTCTTTGGTGGAGCAGAAATATTCACTCTAATCTCAGCTCCTAGAATCGGACTGCAGCAACACTAAAACTGAAAGGTTAGTACTAAATTCGATTTTTTCCAAAGCATGATTTCTTGATTGGTTTTGATTAAACTTGGGAAAAGTCTGAAAAACTCATTTATTTCATTTCAATTATTTTATTTATCGATTTCCCATTCCATTATAAATAGTACAAGATAAATTGCAGACAACGTTAGTGCTTGAGTCATAGGAAGTTCTAAAGTACAGTTAAGATCATTACATTTAAATACGATTGTCACAAAGAAGAAGAAAAAAACTCGGCTAGAATGGCGTAAGTAGGTTCACCAGTAAGGAGCCGACAGAAAGGCCAGAAGCGCCGATATTTGCTGGGCAAAACTTTAAAGCTCAAGCTTGCAGAAAATCTCCGCGAGCACTCGCGAGGCCGATGGACTATTCAGAATGCCAAGCTTTTTCATATTTTTAAAATGAAAATCATTCAATACAAGCCAGAATACGATTATCTATTTCAATGTTAATATATTTTTTTAATAAGTAAAGAATTATAATGAATTAAAATATTTGTTTCAGTTATTTTTGATATTTGAAATAATAAAACTTTGTATATTTCTGTGTGTAGAAACCAACACGGTGCATTATCAATGATATGGTGTCACTCAGTGACTTACACTTTAACATGCTATCCTTTTTTCCAGGTCCCAAGATAAAACGAAACCAAAGAGAGCGGTATGAAACAACCACTGTACATCGCGATTTACGCACTGTTGATTAGTACTTTGTGTTCCACGAAAAGCAACAGCAGCAGCAACAAAACATCTGGGAAAAAAGGTATATTATAAATTAATTCAAAAAAAAATTTAGGAATTTCTATTTCTGACCGAACTTCTGGTCCATTGCTTTGACAGATCCATCAAATCTCCACGTTTCCTGATTACCGTAAACTGCCGCTTGTGAGCTCTGTGCTTATACGTCTTCGTCAGGGGTTTAAAAAAGGAGGGTTTATCATTGGAGGCCGACTTATATCTGAGGGGGATTATAACCGGTCGGACTAGTAAAAGCGCCTCGAAACAAGCTATAGCAATGCTAATAAAAGTACTTTTTGAATTTAGTGGTTTTAAATCAAGCTTCAAAACTTCATAATATTTGGAATCAAGAGATCTAATTCATCACAATGCAAGATAGAGGAGCGGCTTACAACCGGGGGCTTATAATCGGACTTTGTTGTTGTTTACAGGTAGATGGTCCTATAATTAACTGAGGGGGCTTATAAACCTGCAATTTGAGGTTTTCTTCTTTTAGAGGATGCAATATGGTCACTAGCGAATCCAATAACTGGCCACAGAAATGAGTTCTTCCATCGGGAGCTCTCAGAACCACGACATCGTACGCGCCACTCAGAGAATTGATTAACCATAACAACAAAATGCGGAATTTAACGGAGGAGAAGGCATTGAAGTTTTTGTAAAGCAAGCTGTACAGTTCAAGAAACTTTTGCGCATTACTAAAGTGAATTTTCCGACCCCTCAGTTTCAGTTTCAGCCGTTGAATGTCCGTCGTTGGACGTAAGCCTTCCCCATTGACCTCCACTGAACCACGTTTTGAGCGACACGGTGACAATATTTTAGGAAACTATGAACGTCGTCCCTCCATCTCGTCCTTGGTCTTCCTCGGCTCCTTGTGTGTCCCCCTCACCTGAGGACATATAAAACATCCTTTCCCAGAAGTCAACAACCCCATTGTTATTCTAATCCTAATTCCAATCTCCAGGACGTCGTATTATGATATAAGTAACAGCGACAACACCAAATAAAAAAAAATCAACAAATATTATCAGGCCTTTTCTTTTCCCGTTAGTCAAAGCAGTTAGTCTGCTGATTTATTGACCAACTAATGCGTTTATGCTCATTAATAATAGTGTACCCAACAGACGTCATTTGGGTCATGTGGTCAGAGTGCTTGCTGCTCCTCACCAGGAACTCCAGGGATCCCAGGAATCCCTGGACCCGCGGGATCACCTGGCAATCGTGGGACCTGAAGGACCCACAGGCCCAAGAGGAAACACAGGTGATAAAGGATCTCGTGGAAAGCAGGGACCTAAAGGAGATACAGGACCCTCGGGTTCGACGGGCCTACCAGGAAACAAAGGTGAACTGGGCATCCCAGGACGCCCTGGACCCGCAGGACCATCCGGTAAACAAGGACCTAAAGGAACAAAGGGACCAACAGGAAACAAAGGGGACAAAGGAACGCAAGGATTTAAAGGGAGACACAGGACCCTCGGGACCAGCGGGTCAAGCAGGAAGCAAAGGTGAACCAGGTGCTCGAGGTATCCAAGGTCCTCAGGAACCCTCCGAAGTAATTGGAAACAGTGTGTATTTAAGAGTATAAATGATAACAGAGACAATGGTTTGATCAAGGTAAGCACTTAAGGTGGCTCGATACAGTTTTCCAGGGCCAATACCTCCCAAGTTTGAGCATAAACTACGTCGCCATAAACAAAGTTTTGAAAAATTGGCACGACAGTTGTACTAGATAAAGATGAAAATTTGTTGTGATCAGGGTTGCAACGACATCGGAATTGTCATAGCAACGAAATGACGCTATTACTATTTTACTTACAGCAGTATATATCGGCACTGGGAACTGTTCTTCCAAAATCATTCACGGAAGCTTTTTCTCCAATAGCTACCTCGATGTCAGTGAAGTTTGAGCGAAATCTGTAAGAGCGTTATCGAGATACTTTGGGATAAAGATTTCGTGGTTAGAAATACGGTAAAAATGGACAATCTCTATGTTCGGCTGTTATCTGTAGAAAACGAAGCGCTTTTGACATGCAATTAATTTCACCTCATAGTAGTTTCAATCTTTTAAAAACCTGTGTGAAAGATCATGGAGATAGCTCCAGCCGATTGCTAGAAAGAAAGATTTGATTAGTATGTATCCAGGCGCTCTTGTTAGCGGTTTTTGAATATTTTAGTCTACATTAACAAACTAGCAATTTTTTTTTAAACCGCTCGATAGATTTTTTTTAAAAATTTAAGATTCTTAAGATTAACCCTCCTTTATATGACCTTTTAGTTTCAAGATTATTGATATATTGTAATGCAGTAAAATAAGGGTTCCAATTCAAAATTTTGGCTGAAATTTTGTGTTTACAAGTGTGAACTTCTCATTATTCAGGTATTGTTTCCAAGTTTCATATTTTCGTGCACAACAATAGCTAGCATTTTGCATATGTCAAATGCATTGTTAGTTACTGCTGTTCACGTGAAAATGAAACTTGGAGACAATGCCTTGAATAATGAGAGGCTTTCTTGTAATGACGAAACTTTCGATAAAAAGTAGCGAATTGTATCCGTTATTTTACTGCCTTACAATGTAACAATAACCTTGAAACTAAAAGGTCGTATGAAAGGAAGGTTAATCACAAGAACCCTAAATATTTTAAAAATCTATCGAGCGGTTTAAAAATAAATCGCTAATTTGATAAAGAAGACCAAATGTTTACAAAAACCGCTAACAAGAGCGCTTCGAAACATACTAATCAAACCCTTCTTTCTAGCAATCGGTTGGAGCTATCTAAATGATCTTTCACACGTTTTTTAAAAGATTGAAACTGCTATGAGGTGAAATTGCATGTCAAAAGCGCTTCGTTTTCACAGATAACAGCCGAACATAGAGATTGTCCATTTTTTACCGTATTTCTAACCACAAAATCTTTATCCCAAAATATCTCGATAACGCTGTTACAGATTTCGCTTTAACTTCACGAACATCGAGGCAGCTATTGGAGGAAAAAGCTCCTGTGAGCGATTTTGGAAGAACAGTTCCCAGTGCCGAGATATACTGCTGCAGTGAAATAGGTAATAGCGTCATTTCGTTGCTATGACAACTCTGATGTCGTTGCAAAACCTGATCATAACAATTTTTTCATCTTTATCTAATACAACTGTGTTGGCAATTTTTCCAAAAACTTTGTTTATGGCGACGAAGTTTATGCTCAAACTTTGGAGGTATTGACCCTGAAAAACTGTATCGGGCCACCTTAACTCTTAATAGATTTATGCCACTGACTGTTACGCTTTTTGTCTTTGGATATAGGTGAATCGCCCTGACAAGATTTCGTATATTCCTGCAAATAAACACGGATAAATATTATTGAACTGGGGAAAGTAAAGTCTTGATGCTTAAAGACTGCTCTAGAACGAACCCCAACTTTTAATAACTTACGATTCAACTCAACACTTTTTTAAGCCATACCTTTTGCTAATCTTACATTTCATTAAAGGCTATTATTACTCAGAATTAAAATTTCTTTCAATATTATTTTAGGAAGTAAGTCATATAACCATAGATAGAATAGCACCATAGCACTGTCATACAACCACAGATTAAAAGCTATACGCTTTTTAAAGCATTGGCAGATAAAAAAGAAAAGAGGAAGAAGATAAATGCTACAAATCATCACGAGACCGTTAACTTAGGCCATTATAAAAATGTTCAATTTAAGCGTTATTTCAGACGTGAAAAAAACAGCGTACAGATGACAGATGAGTAAGAAAGCAAAGATTAATTAATAAGAGCCAATAAAATGGCATGAAAGCTCTTTAAACGCCATACATACGAGGTTTAGCTCAGTGAACATTTCTCGCCATGTCTTTAAAAATTTCCTGAAGTACAACAAGGGAAACAGCTGACAATTTATTGGTCAACTGAGACATGTTCTAACCAATCATCAGGAAGCTCAACGTGTTATAGCATCATGTCATTTATTAGCCTCGGACGCGGCCTTTTCATGTCATACTGCGCAAAAACAGATGCCTTTTGTATAAGCAACCATGTTAAATATTGGTCGATATAAAAATCCCTGATATCCGTATTTACTATACAGGTAACGAGGAAGAAGATAAACGCCACAAAGCTTCACCAGGCCGTTAGGCCACTATATGAATTTTCAATTTAGGCGTTATTTTAATCATTCCATAGGAATGTATTTTCAAGAAAACATCCGACAATACAGCCTTGCGAGTCTTCTGGAATGGCGATTTCCGTGTCACTAACTGCCACGCCTGCTGCCATCGGTGGTACTTTACCTTCAATGGTGCAGAATGCTCGTCCCCGGCAGCCATTGATGGTGTATTTTTAGTGTATCATAGCACTAACGCGAAAAAGAATCCACATCGCCCACGTCACATCGAAGGAATCTGCGAGAAGCTCCATAAGGGCACGGTCCGCGTGGGATTCTGGGTCGGTAAGTGTGGTCTTGGTTACAAAACTGGCGACGCGTATACAGGCTGGAACTCAGTCTCCAAGATCTACATAGAAGAGGTGGCTCCCCCACAGCCGTAACTGAAGCAGCAGCTCAATTACTTTTCCATATTTTTTTTTTTCTTGTGTGTTAGATTCACTAAAGCTGTTACGGAAAGGTTAAATGAGAAGTTCAAGAAACTTTAAAGAAATAGACAGACAAAATGAAGTAAATGTAACCAGATGGTACGGGGTATATTTAGGTTAGTACTTTTTGTTTTCTGGTTGTCATACCAGCATTCCAAGAAGTGTCTGTAATAATAAAGAAGCAGTAGCTGTACACTGCTGTTTTTTGTTAATTTATTGTGGTTGAGGGTATAGTTTCTTTGGCACGAAATTTTTGCGGGAGTGATATCTTTGCGGATTGGCGATGATTTGTGTTTTGCGGGAACCGATTTTTGCTGTTAGGACAGATTGTTTTTTCGCTGAGAATTATTATTTTTTATGATTTTCAGAAAGTACCCAGTACACACATTGATAATACTTTCATTTTTGTTGAGTACGTACGTGCAATAGAAATACAGATTTTCAAACAATACTAAGGGATGCGTGTAAGTACCCTATGTAAAACCAGTATTTCATTGGAATGTATATATACCGCTTTGTTTCTGAACGAAAGAGACAAGTTGTAATTTAAGAGACTCGATTTCCTAGTACTGTATGTTTAAATGTTTGCGGTAATTTTGTTTGCGGAAACTTATTTTATGGATCGCTGGAAAAATTGCAAAATTAGACCCCCCTCCCCCTCTAAATTTCGTACCGCGTGGTAGGACATATACCCTGGGTACCAGAGGCTTTTTTTCTCGCGTGCGACGAGGAGCTTCGTCGGCCGCAGGCCGACTAGTCTTCGGCTAAACCGAAACCGGAAACCGCGCATGAAAAGCCTCTGGCACCCAGGATGTAGGACATAGGACATGCACTTAATTTAAATTGTGGCAATTTCCTTTCGATACGGCCAGTTTACAGATATCCCACGAATAATGTTAAGCTAAAAATTAAGATTAATAGATTTAAATATGAAATTTTAATTTCATATTAATAACTAGTAACTGTAATGATAATAACCTCTTAATATTTTTTATAGCAGTGTTACGCTGGGAGTCGAAACCCGATTGCTTGCTTGCTTGGTAGACTCCTAGACCACAGCGCCTCGTCTTATACAAAAGGACCTGTTAAAAACTTTTTTTTGAAATTTTCTGGGGAAATTCGTTCCAAGATTAATAGTAACTAATTCACATTCGCATAAAAGCCACCTTATGCCTTTTGATAAATAAGTTATGGGTGAGAAATTTAATTTGCATAAGGCACAGGGTGGGCTGAAAGAGAAAATTTGCCAGCGCCGCTGAAGGGGAGGAGGGTGGGGAAACTTGCTTGCCCGCTGTAGAGTAGACTTGCGAGAAGATGGCGAATTTGTTTGCTAGGGAGTATAAAAAGCCCAGAGAATTTCTCTTGGGACCGTAAAGGACCAATAGACTGCTTTACAAGGAGTACGCAGTAATCTAGTTGATTAAATCGTCACGCAGCGGCTTTTACACGAATGAGAATAGTAGAGCCTCCATTGCTACACTTATCCGTTCGAGAAAATTTGGTTTTGACGTCAGCAAACGCAAGACCTGACTGACCACTCGTACTGACTGACCGGGAGGGGAATGGATAGACACGAATTCCTCCTCCTCCCTAGAGAGCTTTTTTGTCCCCTATTCTCTCAAACGCTGGCGCGCACGTGCACTCCCCTTACTAAATCTGAAGAAAAAGAGAGACTGCTCGCAGTCTAAAGGGCTTTAGAAAAGAATGACCAATCAGGATCTGTCTACTGAGTACTATATATAATTTAAGAATTTGTTCATGCTTAGCGTGCGTATATCGAGTTATGGATGCACGCGGGAAGTTTGGAGAGCACGAAAGATGCGTAAGAGTTGCACGAGGCGATAGCCGAGTGTAACTCTAGCTTCTTGAGTGCTCTCCAAACTTCCCAAGTGCATCCATAACTCGATATACGCACAGCTAAAAGCATGAGCAAATTCTTTTATAACATAGCTGACAAAAATGCTTGCTTTTTTTATTAAAGCTATCTTTAATAAAGATAGCCCTTTGATTAACTGCAAAATTCTCGTAACGCGCTACACAATAACAAACGGTTCTATTGGCTGATTACGAACACGCCACAATCGTCAAGTTTACGTGAAAATATTCTTTCTGTAAAACTGAGAAAGAAAGTTTGCCTCTTTATTCGTTAACGATCAATGGAAAAACTAAACAGAAACAATGGTAAAAGAGTCTTAAAGTTCACCTAAAGTTAAAATACTAACATGTTCGTAAGAAGTCGTGGAGTATGGTTTGCTGAAAAGATGTTTACGTTTTGCTCGGCGAAATCCAGAAAACATGTTTTTAGCGAAGACAACTGTCATCCTTCTTTAAACTTATATTCATTTACGAACATTGGCTGATCATTACGGCTTCCTGAGAAGACCTGGCAACAGTTGTTTCTGTGAGTAATAAATTTATGTCTTCTTGTGTAATTTGTGTTGTTATTGCGAGAGAAATTTTCCTGCTTCAGTCGGATTGTCCGGAGATAACAAAAAGTGCATAACAAATTTGAAAACAACAATAAAAACGGAAATTTTACCTTTAAATGTTGTTGATGACCAGTTGGTGTCTGTTCTGTTCCCAGTGAATGTCTTTCGGTTAAAATTTGCTGCAGCTGGTCTTCCGAAACGCGCAACTTGCGAGTTTTTTTAATTCGGTTTTATTTTTGCTGCTTGTTGGACCAGGACCTAAAAGTTCAATGCCGATCGAAAAATAGGGCAGTTCTGCGCTGGTTTCTTCCATATTTTAAAGAGAAGGAAAACTGCACTGCAGCTTAAAAGACGACAACTTTGCAGCCAGGTAAAAAAAAAATGCTCACGTCATCTTATTTACGCACGGGCGTGCGTAAATAAAGATTTTGTTCATAGCGGCTCAATAGGACTTCTATAGGGCAAGCACGCGCGCTGTGTTATAAATATAGATACAGTCGAACCTCCATGTGCGACCTCCTCCCATAAGCGACCGCCTATCCAAAACAACAAAATTTTCCCAGTAAAATTCTTGCAGTAAGAACCTCTAGTAAACGACTACCTCCTGTAAGCGACCGCGACCACTTTTTCGGCCTGACGTTTAATGATTTTCCATTGTTTTTAGTCTCTTGTAAGCGACCACTTGACACATTCTCTGATCTCTATCGCTGTGTGCACTACGCTAGTGAGAATATGCGAAGAACTTTGGTGACAACATGGAACTACATGCACACATGGCGTAGCTTAGACATGGCATGCAATTCAGTTTTCCATAAAATAGATGTGTCTGAACGTCTTCTTGGAAGAGACCCTTCGTGGTCCGATTCTTGTAAGCGACCACTCAGTCTTTGCATTTTGGGTGGTCGCTTACGGGAGGATCGACTTAGTCTCTTAGTTTAAAATTAATTGCTTTTATTATAACGGAGGCTTTGCTTTTAACCCTGGCTAAATCTATATATTAAGAATTAGATAAACAAGCAGGCTAGATAAATGCTTGTCGGCGCGCTTCCTGCAAACACCTGATTATGGGAACTCAGAAGAAGAGGACAGCAAAACGTTTTTGTGTATGAAAAACGTGACAGGGCTATTACCTGAGTGTCTCTCTCCTCCGCAGAGGCCTCTGTATCGTCGTAGGGAAGGCTGGGGAGAGCCTTCGTGTTATTTGCAACCCCATTATAGTCACTCCAGTTGTGAAAATGCGATCCCATCCAGCAGCACATCCCTGTTAGCCTCTTGTAAGGGAGTACCCCCTGGGTGAAGACTCGTAATGTCATTAGTGCTTTTCAATCTGTCTATTGCCACAGTTATACAGTCGTTTATTGTTCGTCAAATTGTACAGTTGAAAACAATTAACACAAGAAGGACTCCTCGTTGTCATTGTCACGAAAATAAAATATGTTATTTTGCTGTTTTATTTACAGTGGCACCAAAGTAATGGAATGCAACTGGGACAGGAAGGTAGGTGTCACTGATTGTAGTGTATTATTTGTATTTTTCTGATGAAACTGAAAGTCTCTTGGCACAAAATAGCACTTATAGCCAAACCTCTAGGGTATTTGTAAGCAGGTACTTAGGCTTTTTTGAGGGAGGCGGGGGTGGGGGGCTGCGGGGGTATGTATATCTCTATTCTGAATTTTAATGGTGGACATTTCATTTATTGAAGAGAAGGCCATGTCTTTTTCGATATTTCACTATTGTATTTGGGATTTTCCTTGTGACTGTCTCAATTTCCCACCCATCTTTCGTGTTGTTTGTTGCCATTTCATCTGACAGTGTTATGTTGCTATTTCAAGGTCATGTGGCTTGTCAGAATTTTACCCCTCTATACTGTGTATTTCTCATTGGTAGTTTTACTTGTACTTAAATCTCAGAGCTAAGTCAGACTTAAGAACTGTTTTATGTTATTAAACCAATTCACTTTGTCTCAGTGAATCTGAAGTTATTCTTTACTTTGCAAGATGGAAAGTTGAAACCCTGGGGAGATACGCAACAAAGTATTATACAGAAGAAGCTCTGCCCAGAGGTCCAACCCCTTATCCTTTTATATACCATTTTTAACAGAAAAGGTACCCCTAAATCGTATACCTTCCACTGGCAAAAGGTACCCTTTTCACGTACCTAATTAAGAATGCTGCATCCCTGTTAACTGCTGTAAATGCACCATCGTTTAAATAATCAATACATGGCCAAACCAAGATGTCCTCTTGACTTTTTGTCAGCCAGAAAAAAAAACATCAGTTAGCCCTTTTAGTTCCTCTTACAGACCGAGAAGACCGATTTCTCTGCCCTTCATATTTTTCAACTAGTGAAATCCCTACTCTTTTATCTGCCTGAAGTCTGAAAATGGAACCCTCCTTGGGAGTACCACCCTCACGATTAAAATAAAAATATGTATCCTGAAACCTGAAAACTTGCAGTTACTCGGGCTGTAAGGTTGACCAGGCATGTCAGTCAAGGTTAAGCTACGTTGAAGGAACAGAATTGATT